ACTAATGTGCCTTTGAATGGATCCAAAGTGTGTCTGCGATGGGTTTAGCTGGGGAGGGGTAGGGGGCAGCCGGAGGTGTGGCATCCCCCTATTTGTGTTGATGGAGCTGGGCCCGAGAATTGGGTTTGGGCTGGGGGGTGAGGTGAGGGCTCAGCAGTCTGGGGTCCCAGGTTCAGGTTGGAGTCCAGGGAAAGGGATTGTTGCTGTGTGCGAGTTTCCCTTTCTGGTCTCCACTGTGCTTGCTGCTCTTGTACTCCGCAGGGCCGGGGGGGCTGGAGGAGAGTGGGGGTGGGTTATGTCTGCAGCTGCCCCTCTCACACTAGAATAAAAGAGAACTTTTTTTTCGGGAGGGGGGAGACGTGTGAATACCTTGCCCAATAAGAGATGAGGCATATTGAAAACTATATTAAATTACCCTGATTAACAATTTAGCCACGAACAGGGGAGCTTTGGGAGATCTCTATAGGCAGGGCTGGGGGCTATTCATGCCAGCAGCTAAGAGGTCGAAAGGTTTCTGAAGTTCACAGGCTCAGAGCCTTTGTTATGCTAACAGACAATCTCAAATCAGCTGCCTAGTGGAGTGTGAAATATAAATGATTCCTTGAGAACTTCCAATAAGTTGTCACTCTTGCTCTCCAAATACCAGGACAGGCTGCTAATTTCTAGCAGGCCCTTTTGCAACAGCGCGAGCCCTAAATGAATGCCTTTGTAGTTCAAATAATCTTTTCAAGGGAGCTGTCCTATCATACCAGGCCAAATGCATCTTGGTTTGGACTATTAAATGAAAATCAGGACTTTCTCGTGCTTGACTTCTTCCTGGGCCTTTGGGAAGGGTGGTCGCAACTCTGCTCCACAACTTAGCACCCACTGCAGGGGGGCCGGGACATTAATAATATGCTGCAGACTGGGAGATACTGAAACCCTAGCCTTCAACCCCTCACCCCTGCTCTCAACAAAGCCCAGGACAAGATTTACGTGTCTCACCAGACGCTGAAGCTACCTTCCCCTTTTTCACCCGCAGAAATCCGGGCTGATTTAGGGCACTTGATACCAAAGGGCAAGTTCCAGCTTTCCCATGTTAAACCCAATCCTCTTGCCAAACAACCTGTGGCTAGTTCCCTTGCAGTGCAAGCTGGGGGGAGGTGCATTACCTGAGATGAATCGGAGTTTGGATGATGGGGGGCAATGAGGGACGGGATCTGAGCTTTACTAGTTCAGAGGACCTGAGGTTTGGGGTGGGAACAGAAGCAGCTTGGTAGAAACAGGCACATCGCTCTATAGCCCCTTCGTGCTCACAACAGAAAAAGGAGCAGAATTAGTTAATTATCTTTACACGGGGCCGTTAATCCATTAGAAAGGAGTGATCTGTGCATATTCAGGGAAAAGCTGGCCACATGAATCCGTGCTATTGTGGACGAAGAGAAAGCGAGCCTATAAAGGTAGTGCAAAGTTTGACACATGTTTACAAGAACACAGCACAACAGTCTCCAGCACGACAATAAGTTCAGTGTTTGCAGACAAAAGAGACGAGAGATTTTGCTTTTTATATTCGGCCCATGTTAGGGGACGGAAGGGAGCGCAGCAAAGTGTAGTCCTGAAAGACTTTTGGCTGGATCCACACTCTCAGTTTGGTCAGGAGAGGGCTGGAAGAGTGGGACTCCGGAGCTGCGAGACAGCATCAGAGAAAACAGCAACCTGGAAACTGTGCCTGTACTCAGTTTGACTTGAGGAGGGGGCTGCCTATGCCAGGACTCGGGAGTGGGCAAAAATCCCCCCGTGCCCCTGACACTATTAATTCACAGTGGGGAATGCCTTCTTTGCAAAAATGTGATAAGTGTGTCCCTCCAAATCCGCAGTCATCCCCCCTTCTTGGAAAGAGATTGACCGTCTTTCAAAAAAATTAGCCCGAAATAGAAGAAACAAAAAAGTTTGGTTCACATTCTCTCAAAGGTGAAAAGTCGACCTGTTTGGGTGCGAGAGAGAGAGGGGGTCTGAAAACACACAAGGCACGAATTATCAATGTCTTCGAAGTTATTAATAATACTTCGCACTTCCACAGCGCTTTACATTTGCCAAGATCTGAACAAACACTAATTAGAGCTGCTAGTTTGGTTTTTTTTTTGCATTTCAAGCCTCTTTTTTAGAAAGAAGAATTGAACGTTAATCTCCAATTCCTTTTTTTTTTTTTTGTATTGAGGAGGGGGAAACACACACGCACACACGAGATACTTTTCGAGCTACTCTTAGAAACCATTTTTGCAAGTTGCCAATAATGGCATGATCAATAAGCTCTATGGCTATTTCTAATGCATCAAACAGCATGCATGTTAATGACTGTAAGAGTGATTGCTTTTATTCCAGTGATTAAATATCTTCACTCGGGGGTTCTCAAATATTTGCTGGTATACCTCTGATGTTTAATTTTGGCTTCTGTTTTTAACAAAACAAATACCAATGAATGCAGAATGTTTTTGTGCAGGCAGAAGATAGCCCTAGATCATTGAGAGCAATATTCTTTCAGGGTAGTTTTTTTCCTTTTGCAGCTGACATCTTTCATCTCTGACCAAAATTGGAACGGTAATAGTGTAATTCCTAACTTTATAATTTTAACTAAGTATACGTTTTACTAAAATATGATATAAATAAAGTCCACTTGGGTAGCACGCATGCTCATCAGTCTTCTACGCAGGTCGCAGAAACAATTAAAACAATAAGTAAATAAATCCACCGAGAGGTTTCATAAACTCAGACAGCACAAAGTTAATCTGGAAATGAGAGAAGCAGACTTCCTATTTTGTCATTCTTGGATGGTATATCTGCATATTAGCTTGCAGACAAATTAATCCGATTCACGAGAATAATATTTTGCTTACATATTTGCTTTTTGTAAATACATTTTAACGCAGATCCATACAATGCAAAAATTATGTTTCATTCATATGCATGAGTAAATATAAAAGGCAGATGTAGTCTGCTTGTAACCACTAGACAGTGATTGCTTGAAGTGCCAGAGGAAAGCAACTTTTCTCTAGTATATAAAATGATGGAATATATATATATACATATATATACACACACACACATTTTTTAACATATCAAGCACCATCTTCGGGGCTAATTAAGGTGAAAGGCAATATCACAACAAAAGGAAGGCTGAATGGAAAGGAACCAAGGATAAAAAGTGCAAGATGACACCCACAAGATGGCTGCCTTTTCATTCTTTCCCTATGATTATAGCCCAATTTCTACAGCAAAATTAATGTAAGATGTTCTTTACAAATACATTATTATTTTGTAAATCAGAAACAGGTACTACATCCGCCTCTCCCCTCCCCCCCAAAAAATCTGCAAGCAATAATCAAATTTATCAAATACATTTAGGATCTATCAATATAAACATATTGTACTGTAAACATATTAGTCATCAAACTTACACCTACACATTTATGTGCGTGTGTGACAAACGTAATAAAATGTGGAAAAACAGGCAAAAAAAAGAGAGATCGTGGTTTTAATAGGCAGGGCCGAGTAAGGGGAGATATGAGCAACATTGCACCGTTACTTTCTTTTAATAGATAAGAAAATAGAGTGTTAATAATAATGTTACTGGAATGGAAAAAAAAATAATTCTGATGACTTTCATTAGAGAAACTTTGGAGACTTGGATACGTACTATTTACATACGTGATCTGATTAACTCATTGCACTGTGGCCAGACCTCCAGTTATTTTAAATTGCTATTTTAAAGGTAATATATGCAATATTCAGCATTTGACTTATAGTAATGAGCTTAAGACTATTATTTAAAAACAAAACAAACGTCACATTACAATATCGTCAGATTTAACCAGCAAGCTAAGATAAAAGAAGACTGGATATAAACTGTAAATAGTTTGGGTTTTAGCCCATTCAGCAAAATTGTTAGGTTACAAGGTTACTATGTGGGCAGAGACTACAGACGAAGAACAAAGCAAGTGGTTCAGTTCCAATAGGAAATATAATAAAAAACCCTTTATCTAAAAGCCATCAGGGACAAGCACTCAATACAAGTTAACAAGCAGGAACTGATAAGATAACATTTATATGAGGTCAGAAGTCAAATGCCAGTCAAAGGCTTTTAACCTCTTGGGTCATAAACAGGAATAGTTAAAACACATAGATAGTTATTTATCGGATTTTAAAGGTACCTGATCATTGTCAGTGAATAACGCGATGATTAAACTAATTGGGATTTATAGAAGAAGAAGTTTGTAGTCGTTAACATAACATGCAAAGCCCCTAGCCTATAATTCTTCATTTTTTTAAATTCCCCTTTCTGTTTCCCATAAATCTATAGACCAAAGCAGATAGACAACCCAAACGCTAAACATTGTTTTAAAAACAGAAGCATGCACACTCAATACACGAATTGATTTGTGCAAACCAAGACTTGTCTAAGGATTCAATGGACTAAATATTTACAGTCAACAGACATAAAAGAACAATAAACAGCCTCCCCATTGTGGTGTTAATGCCACTGTTTCCCCCCCTTACACTTCATTGACACAAAAAGAAATTCCACTAGAAAAAGAGAGACGAATTTGTCTTCAGAAAAAAAAATCTTTTATTTTTTAAAATATGTTTATTTTTAAGCATATACAATTCATGTCAAGCAAAGATTTAAAATTGCTTAATTAGACTAGTTATTTAGCCAAGCAATTGTCATTCATTCTTTATTATCGAGTAATTTGTATTTGCTGTTGCAGGTTTACTCTCCAAATACTATCACTTTCACGTATTTAATGTCCAAAACGTGAATTTTGAGGGTATAATTAAAAGAAAGAAATGAAGTCTATCTATCTAGAGAGAAACAGGGACTGTTGTAAGGCCTTTCTAGGCCCACTGTTTCTTTAAACGGAGTTCACAATACACTAGACGAACATTGTGGATTTAAAATGCTTTTAAATATTTATCAGAAGTATTTTATCACCATATTCAAATGACACCTGGAGTGCACTCACCTTTATTGACAATCTCTGTTCTGAAAGTCCATTTGCTTCGCGAAAGCCCCCCAAGCAGAACAACAAGGACTAACCGTTTTCATTCAGTTAATGTTTAGTAAAAAACCAAGCAACCTTAATCAGCATGCTGATTGCATCGTCAACTAACAAATAATTTACTACTCTGAGCATTGCATTCCATTAAAAGCTCATTAAATTTTCTGTTCTCCAATGGGAGCTTTAGCTTTTGAACTGCATGCTTTTGCTCCGAATTATCACTTATTCAGTTTTTGCAAAATGTTTTCCAAAGCATAGGTGAGAATTTCAATATCTATAGACACTAAAAGCCTATGAAAACATATCTCAAGTTTGTCTTTACATTATAGATTTAACAGTCTTATGGGGAGAAAAACCTACTTTGTTAGAATCTACCACAGCCAGTTTAACTTTGATGAAACATTCCCCTATCATGAAGATGAATAGCGAGTGATATAGGTTCGTGTAGGTTTTGAATATGTAAGGAAACACTACAGAGAGAGAGTTTTATTTTATCAGTCTGAAATGATCCTCAAAATTAGAAAAGCCTCTCATGTTATTGTTGCAAACAAATAGCAGAAAAATACACTTTGTGTTATAGGACGCACAACTTTCACATTTTGGGAAAGGCACTAACTCTGAATGTTTATTGGGGTTTTGGAAAGGGGGAAATCACTCCATAATCTCGCTCAGACTTGCATACTAAAGTGCATATAATCGTTATATTTAATAAGTAAAACGCAAAAAAAAAAAAATGTCAGCCCCTAAATTAACATGCATCTTTGGATTGCTAATTGTGCTCATTGCAAATTTGGGTCATTTTGCATGAGTGACTCTAATGTGGGGCTGAGATTGCCATATAGCGTAGTGGATTCCTGATTCCCTGTGCTAATCCTGAACTCAGTGATTGTGTCAGGTGCAGTTCTGTATGCTCCAGCAGCTGGCTCATCCTCATCAATGCAAATAAGGCAACTCCTACAATCAAAGCCTCGTGAGTCTAAAGCCTGATTGCTGAGGGCAGGCTAAAGCACTACACAGACTCACTTTCAAATCATACCAACTGACAAGACAACTGTAATGTCCCTCCAGTTCAAAATTAGCCTTTGCCAAACAAAACCAGGAGAGAGATCCATCAGTTTAAGGGTGTACGAAATATTACTAGATTTCCTCTGGATATTAACCGAAGATGGGTGACCCCCCACCACTACTTTAATGTAGTCTACGCTGTGGCAGGCTTTACCAATAATTAACATAATATTTGAATACCTCTTATGAGCACAGACAACAAAACGTCAC